TTTTTCCTATTCGAATGAAAAAGAGTCCATTTAGTTTTGTCAGTATTTAAAGTTAATTTGTTGGATTTGAACCAGTGGGATAAAAGTTTAAATTCTTTATTCACTGTGGCAAAAAGTTCGCTAATATCGCTAATATCGCTAGAGATGAATAAATTAGTATCATCAGCAAACATGATGCTCATCAGATTAGTTGCTTTATTTAAATCGTTTATATAAATTAAAAAAAGGAGAGGTCCGAGGATTGAACCTTGTGGAACTCCACAGGTTATACTTAAACAATTGTTGTAATAGTTGTCATTACCAACAACAAATTGTTTTTTATTTGTTAAGTAACTTCTGAACCACCTTAACGCTTGGTTATTTACTCCATAGTATTTCAGTTTTTTGAGTAGGATGTGATGGTCAACCATATCGAAGGCCTTCGATAGGTTGATAAAAATACCTAATGTATATTTTGATTGTTCAAACGATTTTGAAATTTCATTTACAAGTTGGATAATTGCATGCTCTGTTGAGCTATCCTTTTTAAAACCAAATTGATTAACATAGAGTAGGTTATTTTTGTCAAAGTGTTTATATATTCTGTTGTACATAATTCTTTCTAGGATTTTTGAAAATACAGAGAGCACAGAGATGGGGCGATAATTAGTTATTTGGATTGGTCACCATCTTTATAAATAGGTGTAACTTTGGCAATTTTTAATTGTTCTGGAAAGATTCCTTGTTTAATTGAGGCATTAAAAACTTTGAAAAGAACATCTTTTAGTTGCTTAAAGCAATCTATTATCACGTTTCCATCTATTTCGTCTGGTCCACATGATTTATTCTTTTTAATAGATTTGAGCGCCTTTTCAAGTTCTTCAATTGATAAATCAGAGGATAGCTCATCAGAGCGTATGCACTTCTCCAAGGATAATAAAAAGTCACTGAACAAAGTTCTTGTGGTAGGAATCTTATTTGATAGTTTAGGACCTATTTCAGTAAAAAATTTATTAAATTCATGTGATATAGCGTTTGGTCCAAATATGCTAGTGTTTTCTATTTTAATCATTTGTGGCAGAAAACCAAAGCATGATTTTTGTTTTCCTATAATTTCCTTCATTATTTCCCAAATGCGCTTGGTGTTATATTTGAATTTGTTAAGTAATTCCGAGTAATATATTTTTTTTAAGTTTTTACGAATTTTCTCAAATAAATATTTATAGTTTTTGTAAATTTTTTCGTTTGCAGTTGTTTTTGTTTTTAGAAAATTTATATATAACTTTTGTTTGATTTTGGAAGATTTTTTAAACCCCTTGGTAATCCAAGGAGAATTCAAACTCTTAGGCTTTGCCATTATTTCAACTACGGGAAAGTTAGCGTCGTATACAGAATAGAAAGTTTTGAAGAAAGTTTCATATATGTCGTTTGCATTATTGTTTATGTTAATATTATTCCAATGGAGTAAGGATAGTTGGTCTTGGAATAAATTAAGGTTATTTTGATTAATGATACGTTTCTTCGATACTTTTTTGTTGTCAATGTTTTTTGCTGTATATGTATCAATTGTTACAAAAATGGGAAAATGGTCCGTTATATCAGTTTTTAATATACCTTTTTTTATTTTCAGAAATGCTCAAATCGCCTCTAAAAACAAGCCTAAGTGTTTCGTGCGCATAAATTAGTACTCCACCACCTCGTTTATTTATTTGTCTCTCCAAAGAAATAATATTAAAATGCGGAATTTGAAAATGACTATTTAGATCTTTTGATGTAATCCACGTTTCTGTTAAGCATATTATATTAAAATGGTTTTTTGTTTCTTCTATTAGATTTAAAAGTTTTTCAAAGTTACTATTTAGACTTCTTATATTGAGGTGGAGAATTCTAATTTGATTCGAATTTTTGTCAATAACATTCTTAAAAAGATACTCTTCTAGTTCGCTTGGAAAAATATACAAACAATCTGAAAAAAGTCTCACAATAAAAATTATTGTCGGGATCTGAGTTTTCGTCCTGGGAAAAAAATTCTTTTTCAAAAAAATTAAACGCGAGAGATTCAAAATTATTTAATGCAGCCATGATTGTTTTATATATGTTTAAAAGAGTTCTTTTTAAGAGTGTGAATTAGTTTACTTTTTTCTATTGTTATCATAAAAAGAATTTTTAAAACAAATAATTTTATCATACCGAACCGCAACATTCTCTCCGTTTAAACGTCTTTGTTTTACGTCAGTAAACATTTTTTTCCTGATGGCAACGGTTTCGAGTGAAAAGTCTTCGTTAACGAAAATGTTTGTTCCTTTTATTCGATGAAGTTCTTTCAGTATTTTTACTTTATCTTTATATCTTTGAGGACTATTGTCCGAGGTTTTCCATTTTTCTTTTGTCCAGTGCGATGGGCACGCTCAATTTCAATGTCTTCAACACCAAGTTTTTGTTTGAAAAATAAGTGGACATTTTCTTCTGTTTGTCCCGAAGTTTCTTTTTCGTCTTTGTATAATCCATCTATTCGTAGATTATTTCTACGTGAAAGATCTTCAAGTTTTCGATGTTTTTCTTTTAAAATTTCGTTTTCGATTAATTCTTTTTCTAGTTGTTTGCCATTGTATTCGATTTTTTTATCAATAATGTTTTCGTTAAAGTTTATGCTATCGCTTATTTCTTCAATTTCTTTTTCAATTTTTTTGATTTTTATTACATTTTCATTAGCATTGGTCTCAAGCTTGTCCAATCTTTCGTTTAAAATTTTCAGATTTCCACTGATTATGTCTAGAACTGTTTGCTCGTGTTTTTTAAACATAGCTTCGGTTTCTTTTTTAAACTCATTAAACATTTCTTTTTTAAACTCACAAAACATTTCTTTAAACATTTTCTTTATTTCTTGAAGAGTCAATGCCATAATGATTTACAAGGATGCTGAATTGATTTATAAGAAGGTATGTATTGAAATGTTTATATGTTTTTAAAACTTTTTTCTTTCTTTAAAACGTGTCTGTTCGTCTTCAACGTTTTAGCGTATTATCAGTTGAGATACAAAAGCTAGTCGTAACGTAACTGTTTAGAGACAACGTCTTTCATGTTTTATTCATCACAAAATTCATTATTTGTACACGAAAATTAATAAATTAATCAAAAGTATTAAAAAAAGTTGATTTCCTTCTGGACAAAACAAATGCAACTCCACAAAATGTTGACCAAGCTGTATTTCGTTATCAATATTTCGTGGCGAATCTTTTGTTGTCGATTACAGCCTTGCACCTTTGAGACATTTTCTATCAGTTGATTAATGAAACTTTGTGGAATCGCTGCTCAGGCCTTTTGGATTTGTTCGAACAGTTGATCCTTATTACGAAAACATTCACTGTTAATTCTGCGGTTGACAATCTCTCACAGGTTCTCGATAGGGTTGAGATCCGGAGATTGAGGCGGCCAATTCATCCCTGATAGATGGTTGTCTTGAAACTATTGCTTGACTACTTTTGCAGTGTGTTTCGGATCGTTGTCTTGCTGAAAAACTCATTTTATTGGCGTATTTCATTCAGCATGAGGTAACATAACATCTTTCAGGATATTTTTATAGATGAAACGGTCCTTTATTCCATCGATTCGATGTATTGGATCTAGACTGTTAGCAGAAAAACACCCCTAGACCATTACATTTCTTCCACCATGCTTCACGGTTTTAGAGCAGTAACGTAAATCGAGGCGTTTTCCGGCCGGTCGACGTACACGGCAAATACCATCGCTCCCAATGATGTTGAACTACGATTCATTACTGAACAGGACAGTTCGCCATTTCTTCACATTCCAGTCGATATGAGATGTAGCAAACAGGATTCTTTTCTTCTGGTTCTTTAGTGAAATCAGCGGTTTCTTTGCATGGCGTCAAGAAAACAGTCCGACTTCAATAGCACGTCGTCTGATTGTTCGGTCCGATACAGGCAGCTCTAATTGCTTTTTGTATCTCAATTGATAATACCCAGGGATTCTTCTTAACGGATCTGACGATCATATAATCCTCTCTAGAAGTGGTGGAACGCGGTCTTCCCCCTTTATTATCTGCTGCCAACTTCCCTGTAGAACGATATTTGGAACATAATCTTGATACGGTCCATTTTTTGATGCGATATTTTTCACAAATACTTTTTTGTGACATTCCACTTACGTAATCACCAATAATTGGTGATTACGTAAAAAATGGCACTTGTCAACGAAAATGCAAAATGGCACTTGTTAACGAAATTCTGCCCGTGTGTTGTCACCTGTCAGCTGATTGCTCATGTCATGGCATGCTATGACTCCAGACTTCTGAAATGTTTGGTGTGATAGTTTAGTTCGTTTCGTTTATAAGACATGTAAAATTAGAAGCACTTTTTAGCATTGTTCGATGTTGGTTGCAAATGTTTTGTCAAATACTGTAGTTATTTCTCTAAATTGAAAAAATTCAGCACTTTTATATAAAGAAACTAAATTAGCATTATTTGGTTGCACTTGTTTTGTCCAATACTGTAATATATATTTGTTTATTTTAGTTCTATAGAACTTGCTCTAGTTGAGTGCATATGAAAAAAAATGTATGAAAGTGACACCGATTTGTCTAACAGAAGCGCAAGTGCAATTATTAACTATTGTCAATCTTATTTTAAATGCAGTATCTTAATGCATATATATATATATATATATATATATATATATATATATATATATATATATATATATATATATATATATATATATATATATATATATATATATATATATATATATATGTATATACATATATATGTATATGTATAGGTATATATATACATATATATATTTATATATATATATATATATATATATATATATATATATATATATATATATATATATATATATACACACATATATATATATATATATATATATATATATATATATATATATATATATATATATATATATATATATATATATACATATATATGTATATACATAAAAACACATTGAACTTTTATAAAATTTTATTTTTGTAGAAAACATCAAATAAAGCGTCTGTTATAACTAAAGCTGCCTTTGTGTTAATAAACCTAAACAAACAAAAAAAGAAGCGAGATATGAATAAAGATATGAAATTTAATAATGAATCTCAAGCATTTATTTTGTATCAAACAGCAGTTGGTTTTAATGATATTACCTATCAGTTAGATGAGAGCTTTGAAGATTATTTAGTAGTTTCAGTATTAAAAGCCCAACATCACATAGGCGAAGATATTGAAACAGAAGATTCTATAATCGAAATGTCTGACGAGGTTACAATAGATACAGAAGATTCTGCTCCTTTTTTGAACAAAGGTAACATTCAAGTTCCAGGTTGGCTGTTTTTAAAAAATAAATCTATTGCTGAATACTGCGTTGAGTTATTAAATAGCAGAAAAATTATTTCACATAACTTAGAAAAAAACAAAACAGTTATTGATTCTTCATCAGAATGTAAATATAAATCATTAGGCGAAATTTTATCAAACTTTGACTCATTTTTAAGATTGAATGTCAATTGGAATTGGATAGCTGGAACCAGAAACTTAGACTCCTTAGGATTAAATGCATTTTTGTTTTACGTGGAAAAACTAATAGAGATAGAAAAGGTTAAAGACAAAGTGCGTTTTATAAAAGATTCAAAAATGTTTTTACAAATTTACACATCTCGCCCAGGTTTGTATGAATATTTATACTTTAACTTCTGTATTTTAAAGGTTTGTTATACATAAAATAGTTTAAATATTCTGTAGTAACATAGAATAGTTTCAGGAGGCTTTTATAACATAAAATAGTTTTAGTAAACTCTTATTAGATAGAGTAGTTTCATTAGGTTTTTATAACATAAAATAGTTTCAGTAGACTGTTATAAAATAACATAGTTTCAGTAAGTTTTTATAACATAAATTAATTTCAATAGGCTGTTATAACATAATATACTTTTAGTAGATTGTTATAACATTAAATAGTTTCAGTAGGCTGTTATAACATATAGTAGTTTCAGTTGGCTTTCAGAACAAAAATTGTTAGATAAATTTATATTGTGTAAATTAAAAAAATATAATAAAAAATTAAAATTAAAAAAAGTTTATTATCCATGCATAATTTTTCGGTATTCGGGATTACCGAAACAAGACACAGTTTGCCAATTTTGGCCCTAACCCTCCAAATTAGGATAAAAAAAATGAAAAAGTTTCCAGTAACCTAGAAAACTCAAGGTTCATTTGGCATAAAAATTAAAATCTGTTTACACCGTACATATGAGAAAGTTGAGTTTGAAGTTAGATTGTCTTTGCAATATTTTCTACATAAAAAAAAAAACCCGTTTAAATAAAATAATAGGTAAATTCTTGTCAATGTTCCATTTAATGATATAAATGTAAGTTTTCATAGATTTTATATGTTCTTGTTAAAATAAAACTATTTTGGCGGGTTTTTGTTCAAAATGTTCTTTTCCTATTTGATGCTCAAACATACCAACTTGATAGCAAAATTTTCTACAACATTTTTAGCGATGTCATTTTCTATCATAATGATAAAAATTGCATTACAACTTTTAAAACTGTATAATGACATAGATTATTTAAAGGGTTTTATGTAAAAAAAGGGAATGGAGCAATTATCTTTTCATTTGGCTGATTTAAGGGCTTCAAAGTGAGTCCACTAGAGAAACCGTTTTAACTGTTTTTAAAGAAATTTTCTTAAATCTTTCAGCCTTTGAGAATTTTTGTGCCTATAATTGTATTTTTTGCTTAATAAATTTATAAGGATACAAAAATAAGGGCAACCAAGTTTTAAAGTTATGATTAAAATAAAATTTTTACTGTATTAAAACTTTTTAAAATAGATATTTGTGGTATATACTTATATTATATATATAGGTATATTAGTATATACCTAAAATAATTTTAAAGTTTCTCAAACCAAATATTTCCCTACTTTGAGAAAGCAAGATTTTCACAAACAAAACCAAATTTTAGACTTTCTTACCTTGGTGTTCTTGGTGATGAAGTTTGGCAAAATGGTTATCCATTTAAAACTCAGTATTAATTAAAATTACTATAAATAATTTTTTGGCGTAACATTTGCAAAATCAATCAATTTAAAAAAATTAAAAAAACACAGCAAAAATGCATTAGAATATTACTGCAATAATAATTATCAAATTAAGTAAATTGATAAAAATATTTGATCACCTTTTTAGAAGAAGTTTAAAAGCTTTTACTTACTAAATCATTTTAAACTAGATGTAAGTTCTGATGAATTCTTTTAAGCAGACTAAATTAAATCTAAATCAAGCAAATAGAATATGATTAACTACTTGTAGAAGGGTAAAAAAAATTTATAGTAAGAGAAAATGTAATGTATTAAATAGTTTTAAAGCTCAATCTAGAACTATCTGCTTTCTGTGCATGAAAAAATGTGACAGAAAAGTTACAGATTTTATGAAGAAGAGAATCAAGGCCATGCTCAACCAAGATACTGACTTCACTGATCCCAAGTTTTCATTAGCAGTTTACAACCCTTGCAGAACAAACTTACAATAACATCTGTGGTCAAATTAGCAGTGAGCTCCACATATGGCATAACTTTTAAAACATCAAGATCACAAGTAAGTCCTCTGACTGTTCATGCTTCATTTTTCAAGTTGGAAAATCAAATCACAATCACGCTATCCCTGTTGCATTATATGCACCAAACAGCAGAATAAAAGCTCTTACCAGGCATGAAAAAAGCTGTTCTTTTTTTGCCCGGCAACGTATAAAAAGGGGTTTCCTCACTACTGCACAAAAGGTTCAAGATTTGAAAATTTGAAAAAAAATGATGTAGAGTGAATCTAAAAACGGGCTGCATTTTTCATTGAGCAAAAATTTGCCTTGCCTAAACGAACTAAAAGACTGATCAGAGCACAGGGTTAAAGACCTATGCTCGTCACTCCTGAAATTTCCTGCCAAAACTTAGAAAAGAAACCCATTCTCTCAACAACCGACCTAGTCAAGATTCATATTAACACTGGTCTTTCCCACAATTAAGTCAGAAGACTTGCGTTAACATTTAACAAGTTATTTAAAACAAGGTTGGTGAAATTAAACTTTAGGGATAAACTTGCCAATATTGGAATGAAGTTGTAATAAAATAGTCCTTCTTTATAACACCAACTATTTATGATGCTTCAGAAAAAACATCTCCAGAACCAACATCGTGCATTGCATCAGTTTCTCCAAGTTTGTTGCATTGGTGTTTGAACAAAAAGACTTTTCTGAATTAAAAAGCATCAAAAATTGGGGTTGACGGTGGTGGCAGCTTCTTAATGTTTAGCTTGAGCATCATTGACACCAGAAGTTTTTAAACAATTGAAGGCTTTAAAACAGTTTTGAAGTTTTGTTCATTCTTGCTTTGGAAACAATCTGTCTCTAGATTTTGAGGTTCAAATCAAGCATTTTAAGAATGCTATATGACAAAGAATTTATCAAAATTTACAGCTCTGAGCTCGGTTGTTTTAATGAGTAATCATCTGCGGCACATGTAGTCTTCAGTCCCACTGAGCAAAATAAATAGGAGGTTTGGAAAAGTCCAACTATGGAAAGTAGTAGTTTGACTTTGTACTAGACTTGAACAGTAAGCATCTTTAGATTAAAGGCTGATAAAGATAAAGATATATGGTTCAAGTTTCTGCTTGTTTTCAAATGTAAAATATTTTTCATGTGAAATTTGAATTACTGTTTTTGGAAAACGCGTCTTGTTCCAAACAAATTAAAACCTGTTTCGGTGTAAGAAAATTAGTTAAAAAAGAATTTTTCATGAACTTTTAAAATAATTTACAATCAGAAGGAAAAAATAAAACTTTTTGCTTTCATTACTATGACTCAAATTTTTATAGTCTACAAGCAAACCTATTACTTAAAAAAGCAATAAATAAAGCTATCAGCAACCCAAGACATAACATTTTGAACAAAAACCCTCAAATATGTTCTATTTAAACAAGAACATATCAAATCTATAAAAAATCACATTTATATAATTTCATGAACATTGATCGGGATTTACCTATCATTTTATTTAAAAGGCATATTTTTTATGTAGAAAAATTTGCTGAGACTATCTAACTTCAAACTCAACTTTTTTTTTATGGACGGTGTAACCAGATTTTAACTTTTATGCAAAATGAATTGTGAGTATCTCTATATTACTGGGCATATTATTTCTTTTTTGGTCCTTAACTTGAGGGTTAGGGCTAAAACTAACAATCTGTGGCAAATTGGCAAACTGTAAAAACTAAAGAGAGTATCTTTCTACACATCCAATTATTATTGAAAATTGTAGTTTTCAATAATAATTGGATGTGGAGAACGCTGAATTTGCTTGAGGTTGCAATTTTTTATACGCACCAAATGAATCTTCCTATGGTCAAATTATATTATACTTAACAAAAAAACTGACTTATAAACAAAGCAATAACTTTATACACAGTGACGGATCCAGGAATGTTTGATTTGGGGGAGATAAGTGTTGAAATGTTTTTGTGTTATGTATCGCATTTGCGTCCCCTAATTTAAAAAAAAAATGAAGTTTTGAACTTTAAAAAGTTATAAAAAAGAATAATTTAAATCTGAGGTATCAAAAGTTAACTGGAATGACGTCACTGGAATGACGTTTTAAATAAAAACTAAATTAACTCCTGTTTTAAAGCATTTATCTCTCAAATAACATAGATATTGTTTATCTCTCAAATAAGATTGTTGTTGTTTATCTCTCGAATAACATTGTTGTTGGATTGTCATGAGCCACTCAAAAAGATTAGTATTAGAAGCTGCAACATCAGTTTATACCATGAACTACTAAAGTAATACCTAAATAATAAATAATTTGAAAGTTTATTCAAAAAAAATTAAAAAAATCTAAAAAAATCTAAAAAAATCTAAAAAAATTTAAAAAAAATCAAAAAAATCTAACAAATATAAATATAAGTTTAAAATATTTTTAAACTGAATAAATACACCATAATTATTTTAATTAAGAAAATACAAAAAAAAAATATTTTTAAACTGAATAAATGCGCCATAATTATTTTAATTAAGAAAATACAAAATAAAAAATATTTTTAAACTGAATAAATTAAACCGTAATTATTTTAATTAAGAAAATACAAAATAAAAAATGTTTTTAAACTGAATAAATACACCATAATTATTTTAATTAAGAAAATACAAAATAAAAAATATTTTTTCAGAAAATGTCTTTGAAAAATTTGAAAAAGCAAAGAAAAAAAATAAGTAAAATCTCAATAGCTTAGTTCCATATTGTTTACAAGTTAACGAAACTTAACAAAACCAAATCTTATCTCAAAGAATTTTAAAATAATATTTTTTAAAACAACTTTTTTTACAAAAACTGCTCCTAAACTTAAATCCAATATTTACCCAGCTTACATGCACCCAGCTCCAATTAACGTATTTTAAATTTCATTTTTTATTTTTTTTTTATGTTCTTTGTTATATTCTTTATACAAATTTACAAAAGAAATAATACAAATAAAGATATCATTACAAGTAGAGAATGTTTGTGTACTTAGGGCCTTTTTGTACCTAAGGTTACTCCACTTTATTTGAAAGCTATAAAGTTATAAGTAATACTTTTTAGTAAGGTAATTAATTATAAAAAAATCTTTTTTTTAT